CCATGGGCCTCTTGTTTGTTTTTGACCCGCTTAAAAACGATACATTGATAACATGTTTTATTGTATAATTTAGTCATATTTATACAGGAAATGGGTAAAACAAATGCTGTTATTCTCTACCGTAACTATATATCGCCTGAGAAATCTCTATTCTGTAAGCTAACTTTAGATTCCTGACGAGGTCGGGTCAATCGGTTCTAGTACCGAGCACCTACTCTTACAGAGAAAATTAATATTAATTTATTGATATTTAGATAAATTATATAGACAACATATCAAAGCACTTATGTCGACTATATAACACTAGCTAGGTATGAACCTTTATGTATATTATTTGAACGGGCCTCACATATTAATAAATATTGTACATGGTTCAGAGGCCCGAAAGATGTAGCGCAAAGAACCTCATCTAATAATATAAATAGGTCTTTGTGCAGCTTTAGCTAACCCTTCCCTCTATAACAAGTCCTAGCCACCATCTGCTACTACCAGTATTAGATACAGCGTCTTATTATCTACGTTGCTGCGGCAGCTAATTATATAGGCAGGCCATCTGGCAGCTGTTCATATCCTGACCGGGTTCCCCTTCGTGGGCCCCTTGTAATGGGGAGCAGGAAGTTTACATTGGAGCGCCATCTAGCTACTAGTTGCTGAAAAACAAAACAACGAGGAAAACAGATGATGCAGAATGAAGTTTGACTTGGAAAACAACCACCAATCAAATGGATAATGAGAACACGACTCTGAAAACTGGATATCTATTGAAATTTGTAAATATCGCTAGAATGTCATATCTTCTTGAACTTACTTGATATTGATTGTAAATATAAAGGGCACCACCCCCTTGGCCTCGTCATGCAGAAATCACAGTTTCGGTTCACGAATCTGGTGCAGTGTACTTACATGCTACAACGTATTGACGTACGATCTTAATTCGATTTTTCTTTCACATTTTTACCACATTAATATTCATGTCCAAACTGTTCATACGTTATATGTATACTTGTCAAGTCACTTCGGATATACAAGGTGATTACACCTGTAACAGCTATATTTAACGTTAGGCCAGTGAGTCATTTTTTGATAGTTTCATTGTCTTAAATCACAGACCAAACGCAAACGGGTATGAATTGCATAATGCTTCTAGCTACAGATTTTGTCATATTACTCGTTTATCCTAAACCAGTTAAATGATATACACTTTTTACGAGAAAAAAATAATCTCATAGCTAGTTATATAAATCAATTGTTATTTTACATAAACAGGCTAGGTTCATATGTTGGCCACAACGTTAACCAAGCATATGGTAATAATCCTGCATTTTGGTAACAGATACCGACATATGGGAACTAACTTTGCAATAGGATAACAGTTTCCATATACAGTAACATTTCTATTACTGAAATGGGGAATAAAGTGAAATGATAATACATTAAGTTCTTTTAAGCATTATGAAGATTATTCTTTCAACATGATCAAATATAATACAATGAGGTACAATTATGCACAAAAATATGTTAATTCAGTGTGTACATTTTTGTGAAAATGACAAACTATATCACCTCCATTGTTTATTGCATGTTGTATACATAGAGTAGCTATGAATAGCACACTGAAGAAATCATGCTCTCCTGTCACACTTTCGCTAAACCCTCCCAACGACAACACCCTGAAGTCGATTGAGAACGAGGTCAGTGATATGGTTTGTCATTTTCACAAAAAGTTAGACATCAAAATTGATTTTTTTTGTCTACAGATCGATGTACTTCATTGTGTTATTTATTGGATTTTGTTTGAAAAAAAATGCGCTCAATTTTAGTCCTATTGTTAAAAAGAAAGTTGTGTGTTTTCGTTCAGTTACCTGGTAAATCATTTTACAATATGAGGTGATACTCCATCACATTCAGATGTCGTTGTCGTTGGCATAAACCCCTGAGTGCAATCTGGAACCCTTGCAATTGACACTTTCTTTAGCAGTTTAAATGCTCAAAATAATTCCCATTTTACAGTTATAGCAGAAAATGTATGCAAAGTTAGTAGAACAAAACATTCTAAAAGCTTAAATTTGGTATTTTTAGAATTTGCAGATCATCATTCTTGAAATTGTTAAATAAGTTAAAATATTTTTACATATTCATTTCTTTTACAACAGGAGCCAAACAAAAGATGGAAAATCCGATGGTTGGTACTTCATGAAGATCAACTCACTTGTCATCATAGACGTGACAAGGCAGTTATAGTCACCATAATTTCATTACAAGGAGCATCAGTTATCTGCCCCTGTCTAGATGACCCTGTAGCTGATGCTCAGGTAAATTTTATATACAAAATGTATATTGTATGATCGCTGCATTTCATGAAGTGCAAATCCATTTACATTGTACTATGTCCAAAAATCCTGTTACCTGTGGAAGTACATGATTGTTTGGTTGGCAGAGAGTTCCTGATTTTGAAGAGTCTACTTTTTACATATTGTCTTTGTAAAATCAAATTTACCTGGTTTCGACAAAAAACTGGATTGAACAAGAGTCTGGTTTAGACAGAGTGCATCAAACTTTTATAAAGGGAGCTTTTCTCAATAAATTTTAATAAAAAAAATTGCAGTTTACTTCTGAAAAAATCCTTCCCGATTTGTATATTTTCTTTCCATAATAAGAAAAATGGGCCCCGTCCCAATTATTAATAACCATTGTCAAACACATGTTTTATAATTTAGGGAGTGTTCAAGATTGTTCTGCCGGAGGGAGAAGAGATATACCTGCAGGCTGCTGGAAGGAAGGACCGTGAAGGATGGGCTCATGCCATTGGGGCTGTAATACGCTCCATCTCTGGCTCAAAACAGGTCAGGCAATGGTGTAACACAATACAGTGTACTGGGGTGGAGGAAACTGATATTTTGTTGAAGACAAAGGCCAAAATGCAACTTAAGGTTCAACACTTCATCAGTTGCCTTTCAACATCAGATTCATCTTTGCTTAAATTTTTAGATAAAGTATATTTCTCCTGACACACAACTCCAGTAACTCAGATAGCATATTTAATGGTCTTGAGTGGGTGCTACATTGTCTATGCTTTAACATTGAAGTGAGGCTGCAATATTGATAAAAATGTTGATGCAATCATGGTCTCGCTTCAAAAATCCAACTCCTATAACACACATGCAGGCACATACACATGTGGAGGTATTACTTAGGTAATTTATACCTGTTAGTTTGTTTCTTGTTAAGCAGCTTGTGTAATGTTCTCTCATTGTATTCATTGTTTGCATTGTATGATACATATGTATATGTATTGTAATGAGCTACTTAGATTAGCTTATTCTGGCTAGATAGAGTGCTATAATT